ATGGCACCACCTGCCTGGAATTTCCATGTTCTCCCTGTGCCTGCGTGGGTTTCCTCTGGGTACTCCAGTTTCCTCCAACACTCCAAAGACATGCTGGTAGGTTAATTGTCTCCTGTCTAAAATTGGCCCTAGTATGTGTATGTATGAATGTGAGGTAGGGACCTTAGATTGTACGCCACTTGACAGTTAGGGACTAATGTGAATGTGCGATATATATGTAAAGCGCTGCATAAGTTGATGGCACTATATAAGTACCTGTAATAAATAAAATCTTGTGCAGGAATGGAGGGAGGAAACCTGCACAGCTGCAGTTGTCAGAGGGAAGATCAGGAACAGTGGTGAGAGTAGGAAGGTGCAAGCATGGTGAAATGGGAAGCATACAGATGTGATGATAAGAGCAGGGGTTGGGGTGAGGGGGCTGACATGGTGATGAGAGCAGGGCAGCAGTATGCATGTACAGTGGTGGGAATACAAAGAAGTGTCGATTTGTGCAGGCATTGGTTTGTAGGAAGATTTTACAGGTGTATTGATGAAATCTGCGGTGATGGAATGCAGGCATGGGGTGTAGGCTGCACAGGAACAGTGGTAAGAAAGCGGCATCATGGAATTGGGTTGGTGCAAGTGGAGGTGAGCATACACAGATGTAGTGGTGAAACGTGGAGTAGAGGTGCAAGGGTAGAAGAGGAAGTGGTGGGTTATGAGAGACGAGGGATTAATGTGCAGACAATGCTAAGGGAAGGGTTAATGCAGGCCTAGATGGTGGTAACAGAAGTGGGGTACAAGAGAATGGGGGTGCATTCCTTGAGGGTGGTAGAAGGGGATACAAGTTCAGAAGAAGAAGAGAAAATAGGCAAAATGCACAATAAATGATAAGAAAAGGAGCATGCAAACACAATGGATGCTGAGCAAAAGGGGGCTGCAGGTGCAGTAGGTGGTGAGAAAAGAGGGTTGCAGATGTAGTGGATGCCAAGAGAAAGGTGGGTGCGGAATTAATGATGGTGGCTGCAGGTGCACCGCAGGAGGAGTTTGGTTGAGAATACAATAGGAAACTGCATAATAGTAAAGGAAGATAAAGGAGGGAGATTGGATGATAGTGCAGAAGAGGCTGGCTGACATTGCATTGGAGACGGGGGAGGTAACAGTAGTAACAGTAGGGGGATGCCTCGTCAATGCCCCTCTGTATACTAGATAAGGTACAGATGATCAGGTGCACATAGAAATTGTATTTTCCAGCACACTTACCAGATAACCTGTCAAAAAAAAACTGAATGTGTTGTCTAACATTTGGTGTCATTAACAGAGGTCTTAGTTGCACAATAATTGCATATATATATGAAAGTCACACTGCCTCGTCAAGGCTCCTCTGTATAGTACAGTCCTAACCAGGGGCGGACTGACAACTCATGGGGCCCCCGGGCAATAGGGGATCATGGGGCCACTGTGTCCTTGCCCAAACTCAAAAAAGCCTATGAAAAATGTACCAGGGGCATCTCATGGGGCCCCCTACTGACCCCGGGCCTTCGGGCAGTGCCCGAGTTTCCAAATGGTCAGTCCACCCCTGGTCCTAACTATAATCCATGAGAGCCTTCACAATGGAGCATATATAGCAATGGATAAATGAAGGGCGGGTATGCCTGGAACCCATTCCTCCTTAACCCCTAGGTGCCCTTTAAGGGTTTCAGAAGCTGGGAGGTAAGCAGGGTTTTAGGGTCATGTGACCACCGTGATTCGCTGTCATGGTGGTCACATGATCAGGAAAGGTCCCGATCTCCTCTTTTGAGTACCGGACATGTGTGCTGGGAGCGCACAGGGCGTGTGCTCTCAGCACATATGTTATTTTTAATTAAATGTGCGGCGGCCGCTCGGCATCAAGACCCAGACTCTGAGAGGCCGTACATTTGCTTGCGCTTAGTGTTAAGGTTAAGGATAAGTTCACCTTTCGTAACATGTTACATATTACACCCATATTTAGGGTGTAACATGTTATGATCAGACTGGCCCCTGCCCCCCCCCCTGCTTTGACAGCTAGTGGGGGATCTTCTCCTCCCTTACTAGCTGTCAAATTTTTAAAAAACGTGACCATTTGGGGCTCTGCCCACACTGCCGCATCACTCATTCAAAGCAAACTAAAACAAAATATATTTCCAGAACACTTACCAGCTAGCCAGCAAAGAAAACTAATGACACTGCCTTACAATCCTGCAGACCCAGCCCCCGCTCAGTACAGACCTTTGGGTATGGAGCCAGAGAAAGACAATGGATGGCTGTGTTGTCATTGCACTTGTGCTCCAGGGAGAACTGTATGGTTGATTTACTAAAGGCAAATACACCTTGCAGTTTGAAAAGCGCAGTTGCTCCAGAGCTTAGTAAATGAGGTACAACTTCACTTTTCAAAGAATACCCAATTACGTGCCAGCAAAATAAAAAAAAATGGCATTTTTGCTTGCATGTGATTGGAAAACTGAAGTCTGCAGAGCTTCTGCTCATTTACTAAGCTTTG